CACTTCACATGCTCGGATGAGGGCGCCTTATTGGCCTCAAGTTGTGACTAAGCTGATGTTGCTGATCCCAGCGATGAGTTCCAGGGGCTTAGGGCCAAACTTTTCAATACACCACGTTGGCAGTGCCATTCAGCTTTTCCTTCGAGGCAATAGCACTTGGACTCTTATAATGCTCGCTTAGGTGCATTTAAAAGGAAATCACACCATTTGCGCCATTTCGTCGAGGGTCTAATAACGATAATCCTATGCTACGAGTATGATGGAATCTAGCATTAGCTTCAATTACCAAAAACTTGCATCGACCGCTTCATCGTCTATTTCCACTGCGCTGCAAACAAACCAAATATTATTCGGATCCGGATGCTTCTAGCGGGTGTGCTTATCATTCATGTTTCTGCAGTGAGACTTTGTTCCTCGACTCTGTTTGCTTAGCAAATGTTGTGGTGGAGTTTCCACGGAAAGCCGGCAGGGTGGCGTCACCGTGGCGCAAGTCGAACTCGGCGCAAGTGAAGCGTTTTAATTGCTGCATAAATATTTGCTTAAAATTAGCTCATTGTGCACTGGATAGCGCTCAGCTCCAGCTGAGATTCAAGCTGCATCCGAGTTTCCGGTGCTGTGTGTGTCTTGCTATAGTCAATTACCACATATTTGTCTATAATTAATATGCTTCCCTTGGAGCCTCAGATTTGTCCCGCTGCAGCTAAGGCTTTAAGCAAACAGCAATCACTTCTAGCGAGTCTCCAGTCGTCTACGAAGTTTCCTTTATTCGATTTGGTAGTTTATGCTGGAGTTCCTCCTTCACAACTTCTGCCGCAACTCTTGCAGTTGCGCAACTCTCGCAGCTCGCAGTACGTTCGATTTTGGTTCGTTTATTTATTTATGCCGTTTGCAGCACAATCCTCTCGACTTTCCCTCCACAGGTAATAGCTTTGTGTTTGCCCCTGTCTACTTTTTGCCTTCAAATTAATTTGAGCTGTACGGAAAGAGTGCATAGCTGTTCATGTATGCATCCGGATAGCTCGATATGGGGGTAATGCCAGTTCACGTACAAAATGTAACATGCGAAACCACTTTGAAAAGCGAAAACCACGAAAACTGCATGGATGCCCCACAATTTGTGCAAATGTTCTGGTATTAGGGTACTTGTGTACGCACACACATTATACGTTTAAAGTTCAACCAAAAATAAGTCTTCACTTTCATGCAAATCCTGCAAAATTCACATAAGAAAGTACTTAATATATGAATGAATGAATGAATAATAATGAAAGTATTTAATATTTTCTTACAAAATTAACAGGGAAGAACTCAAACAAATCGCAGAAACGTAGCTTGTTTCTATTATTTTTTCCAGCTCAAACACGTGACCACTTCAAATATCGCTATGTCGCTATAACAAGAGCGAAATCAACTTCGTACATAATTAGTAATTTTGTTTTACATGCAGGAGCGATTCTTGTTTCTATTATTTGTTCCAACACTGTATATACTTTTGAAAATGCTGCAGAGATATTTACCGGTTTTACCCACTGTTCATGAATACAGCAATGGATATGCAAATCTTTAAGGATGTATCACTTTAAGGACCTTCACACGCTAGTTTACGTCTTCTTCTTCGACATTTACTGCATCTGCTTCGAATGCAACACTGACGCCCCCCATCCGCCTCCCAGTCGGCCATCAATCAAGACGACACTCTTCCTTCGTTAGAGGAGCTTTCTTCGACACTTTTGAGATGTTCGTGCTGCAAGGACACGCTAAACGTATGCAAATCATTATGTTAATCGGGTGCCATCAAATTTTTTGGCGTCGTTCATCACACTGAGCCACACTTTGCACTTGGTAATAGCAGTTTCTCACTGTTCCACTTCTCACACCTTCCTTACTCACGTCTGCACCCCTTCCTTTCCTAGTGGAAACCACCTTCCCTACCCGTTGCCTACCCGTTACCTACCCGTTCCCTACCCGTTCCCTACCCGTTCCCTACCCGTTACCTACCCGCTCCCTACCCGTTTCCTACCCGTTCCCTCCATCCTTCTGGACCACTGCTTGCTTTGGGACCACTGCTTGCTTTGCTCTTGCTGCTGCTTAGCGCCCGCGTGGCTAAGCCAAAATTTACACAGGCACAGCGAGTTTGGTCGTTGAGGATGCTTGGTAATGCTGAAATTTGCACTTTTCCGAGCACACACACACACACACACAAGCAGTGAAAGGCACACACACACACATGTACTGGCAGCAGCATAAGTAAACAAGTTTAGTATAATCAACGGTTGGCTGCCTGCCGGGCTGTACAAAAAAGTGTTGCACATCCGCTTACAAAACCCACACCCGCAGCGAGGCCAAGTCCCTCGAACATGTAGATGACGTAGTATATGTTTTTATTAGCATGCTTTGTATGCCCTGTACGCTGTCAGGCTCAGCAGGAGCAGGAGCGGGGGCAGGAGCGGGGCTGCAGCCGGGGCTTATCAGTGGGAGGGGGCAGGGGTTTGGGCAGGATTCACCTGTCTCACGGCGCTCGTAAAACCACATTACCTGTGATTTCCGAACACAGGATGGCTTGTTCATCAGCGTTGCAGTCGAGCAGGAGCACGAGCACGAAGCGATTGGGAACGGGAACTGGATATCTGCCGGTGGCCCTTTGGCGCCTTTGTGCCACGTTCATTGAATGTTTTTCTATTAATTTTTTATTGAATGATGCTTTTTCCCCACCAGCATACTGCCACGCAGGATGAGAGTGGCTCATTCCCTGCGGCGGCATGCTAACTTTATTCAATTCCTTCGCTGCTCATGTGGAACACACATTCGATGTACCGCAACCTGTCTCTCTCTAACTGCATCCTGCCCTCCCTTTCTCTCTCAGTTGTACCCTCTATTTTCAGGCGGACAAGAGCAGCTGTGTAATGTGGCTGAAAAATTGCTAGTACTTAGGACGCATCCTAGTTGCAGGATAGCCATTAAGTGCACTCGAGACACAGATACCCTTGCATTGGTTTTAAGAACAAATTTTATGGAGGATTAGGGATTCAACAAATGAAACATGTAGATTTTAATAATACATACTATAACAACAACTTAAATAGCTAATATTTCACGTTTAGCATAGGTTATCAAGTCGGAATCTTATTATCTTGTCTGTGGGGCTTGTGTTCCAATAAACAACCTAATGAAATACAGCAAAAAGGATCAACGGCTCGTGTTAAATAAAATGTTTTCCCTATGGTATCTTTGGTAATCTCCCGACTCCATACATCCCATCTATACCCCTGAACTCCCGCTGATAGGGCAACAAATGAGCAACATGATGTGAAACATTTTGCTAGTTCCTTAAACTGAACAAAGGATGGCGGATGGGGCAAGTGGGTCTGGCAGGGAAGAGCTCGGCAAGCTGGTTAAGCCTGGCATGCCACTCCATTTGGAAGACGGTTTTTTTACGGTTCGCCACAAGCTCATAAAAAACCTCCAAAATGGGTGACACACAAAGGAGTCGCACATGCACACACACACACACACAGGCACACCTTCACTTACATGAAGGCAATGAAATAAACAAAGCCACAAAGGACAGAAAACCTCAGCGGAGCGAGAGAGACGGACACATGGTGTGCAAAAGAGAGGGAGATGCTTGAGGAGAAAGAGACAGATGGTAAGCAAATTGCTGAGGAGTCCAAAAGCCGGACCAACGTCAAAATTATCGAGCAGCAGGTGTGCTCTCCTCCGTTTTCCCCATCGTCCCTTTTTCTTTCTTTCTCACCCTCATACAACCGTCTCTTTCGCGCATCCTGAGCCTCTCTTTCGCACACAGCCGCTAGCATTATTGCTTTTGTGGCTTTTCGGTAAATATTTTGCATAAAATATCAATTTCACATGCAAACGGGCGAATGTGAAACGTGCGACTGCAATGACGACTCAGACTCTATGGAATTTAAATAAAAATCTGCAAGTGTAAATTTAATTAATTACTGAGCATGTTTTCCAGCCATCACTCTTTGTTTTCACAATTTGCCAGGGGCCAACATAGCTTGCTCTAAATAACGTTGCATAACTTTTGTAGCCACAACTTTGAACAAGCCAGTGAGAAGCCGTCAGCTACAAATATCTTTCGGTTGGGTGGGGAAAATGCAAATGGCGGTTATTAAAATTCCAGGAAAAGGTCTTTATTTGGCTCACCCACTTGAGATTAATTGAGAGCAGTTAAGGTGACATAAGCCGGACCCAAAAACAAAGGACCCAAACGCAAATCGGATTGGAAAATGGTTGCAGATAATATGGCCTGGCAAATGGCTATTTCACTCGATTTGACCTAGTCCCCGCGATAAAATTCGACAGCAGATTTACTTGTTGATTTCCAACGTAATTGAATTACTCGCGAATAAAGTGCGGACCCAATGGGTTGTAAGGCAAAAAAAATTGGGAAAAGGGCTTTTTTGGGGAGCCCAAAAATTAATTTCATTTTGCTGTATTTACAGGGAATTTTTACGCCAACTTTTTGGGACAAAACACACAAATTTAAAAGCAATTTTAAAAACGGCGGGCATGAGGAAAAGTTGCTTTCGTTTGGGTCTAGCCCCTACGGGTCAAATGTCAAGGCCTCAGAAAAAATATATCTATCTATCACAACTTGTTCATAATCATAACCCTTGCGGCCATTTAACGACATTTAACGACAGGCAGGCATTTAAATATTAAAGTGAAAATAAATATATAGATAACAAATAGCGTGTAAACAAATAGGTAAACAACATGTCCCCCGACGTTGTTCTTGTTTGGGTATTTATTTGTTAATACGATATTTACGCCCCCCAAATGGAAATGGGAAAATTCCCAATCAAAACACTGCTAGTGGTAACCGTGTCACGTAGCAAGTTAACGGATGAAATAAATATTTCAGGCACAATTTCAGGGGCGGCAACGGCATCCACTTAGTTGGAGCCCCGCCTTGCCCCTCAGTGGCTCCTATAAAAGTTGGTGCAACCTAGGAACCGCGTCGAAAGCCCAACATGGACTCCAGCTACTTTGCCGTCCAGAGAAGAGCTCTGGAAATAGCTGGATTCGATCCCAGTACTCCGCAACTGAATCTGCAACATCCCATTTGGGCCGGCATACTCATGCTGTCCCTGGTTTCCCACAACTGGCCCATGGCATTCTATGCCCTGCAGGATCTGTCCAACATAACCCGCCTCACGGACAATCTGGCGGTGAGTCTGCAAGGAGTTCAGAGTACCTTCAAGTTCCTGATCATAGTGTTGAAGCGAAGGCGCATTGGGTCGCTGATTCACCGCTTGCACAAGCTGAACGAGGCGGCCAGTGCCACGCCCAAGCACCTGGAGAAGATCGAGCGGGAGAACCAACTGGATAGGTACGTCTCCAGGTCGTTTAGAAATGCCGCCTACGGAGTGGTTTGTGCCTCAGCCCTGGCGCCCATGTTGCTTGGCCTGTGGGAATATGTGGAAACGGGTGTATTTACCCCGACCACGCCCGTGGATTTCAATTTCTGGCTGGATGAGCGAAAGGCCCAGTTCTATTGGCCCATCTACGCCTGGGGCGTACTGGGCGTGGCAGCTGCCGCCTGGTGGGCCATTGCAACGGACACTCTGTTCTCCTGGCTGATTCACAATGTGGTGGCTCAGTACCAGCTGCTGGAGCTGGCTCTCGAAGAGAAGGATCAGCAGAATGGAGCAGACTGTCGCCTGGTTGAGTGTGTTCGTCGTCATCGTATAGCTCTTGATTTGGCCAAGGAACTCAGTGCGATTTTCGCGGAGATCGTCTTCGTTAAGTACATGCTCAGTTACCTGCAACTCTGCATGCTGGCCTTTCGCTTTAGCCGAAGTGGCTGGAGTGCCCAACTGCCGTTTAGAGCCACCTTCCTGTTGGCCATCATCATCCAAATAAGCTCGTACTGCTATGGCGGCGAATATCTCAAGCAGCAGAGCTTGGGAATTGCGCACGCAGTTTATGGCAACAGCAATTGGCCAAAAATGGCTCCCAGGCAAAGAAGACTCTGGCAAATGGTGATCATGCGGGCCCAGCGCCCCGCAAGGATTTTTGGCTTCATGTTCGATGTGGACCTGTCCCTGCTGCTCTGGGTGAGTTCCTGGCTTGAGTTTTGGATTGCTTGGCCGCACTTCTGATATTAACCACGCATGTTGCAGGTCATCAGAACGGCGGGCTCCTTTTTGGCCTTGCTAAGGACTTTTGAGCGTTCCCCAACTTAATGAATCTAAGCTTAGGATCAGGGCCTTGGTGTAAAGAAGTTACTTCTTGAAAGCAAAAATTATCATAATACAACAAATATGCAATTGGTGTCCTTTCTGTTAGCGCTCCACACTGCTTGCCATTTGGACGAGCGTATTTTGACGGGCTCCGCTGCCACGAAGGGATCTGCTGCCGCATGTTGATGCCACTGCAGGCATATGAAGGGGCATATGAAATTCATGAGCGCATTCCACAAAGGCAGCTGTGCAACCAGCTCAAGCGTGTGGCCATGATGTCAGTCCGGCGGACAGGGATATGTGTACAATATGTGCATACTCGTACGTATATAGATGAGTGCGCCAGGTAGTCGGAGTCGGAATTTGTTAGCTGAAAGCTGAAAGCTGAAAGTATGCAACAGCATCGTTCAGGTGGGGCACAAGTTGCTGAAAAATTGCTACTCGAACTATGTGCCGTCAGTGGCCCCGGGCTCCAGTCCGACTCAGCCGGTTAGCCGGTTCTTGAGCTAGTTTCGGGGCTGAGGCTGAGGCTCCAGCTCCAGCTCAGGATCAGGTGGAATGCGGAGCTAAGAACCCTGCCTGGTGCCTTATCCCTCGTGAATTGCGGAATGTTGCCTGCTACGGAATTCCTGGCTTGCTGCTTGCTGCCGAGATTTGAATTCGGTCGGAGGCCAAGTCGCTGGTCGGAATTTGTTTTATTAAATTTTGCAAGTCGGTATTTTGCACATGTAATGGACTCAGTACTGCCGCCCGCCGTGTTGCCCAAAAGCTATGACAAATTGTGCGGGCACCTCGGATTATATAGCAAATTACGACGGCGCTATTGCGGGCATAATTAATTTTTGTCTCTGACATTTGATTTATTGGTCTGCGCTGGTCAGCAACTTTGGCTTGACTCCGAAAAACAAACGAGCAGCGATTAATAAGCGGGAATCGCTCCTGGCCAACACGCACCTGCAACACAAACAGCCAGCAAACGCGAGCTTTAACCTGCCAGCTGGCCATCGCTGGGGATATAACTTTACAGCAAATTGTGGCCAAGATAAGGCGGCCAGCACGAGCTGAAAATAGTGGCGAAAAAAGCACAGTTTTATGTGTATTAAAAATGTGAACAAAAACGACGAAGCGGAGCACAGATTCTGTTTGCAGTTCGTTGAGCACACAATAATTCCATCAGCATCAGTGGCAGCAGTAAAAGTGGGCGTGGCTGGGGGCTGGGGGCTGTGGGCGGTGGGCGGTGGGGCAGAGATAAAAGAGCTGGCAGCACTTTCGCTGCACTGCTGTTTTTGCAGTTGTTGTGGTGTATTGTGTGGGCAGTACCACGGGGCGAATGGTTAATAATTGAACAAAAAGGTCCTTAAAGCTGCCGCGCAGTGGGCAAACATTTATGCAAAGTAAATTGGTATGCAAACTACGAATTCGAACTTAAATGTCCTAATGTTGTTTTATCTTGGTAAAAAGAGGTGGCCAGCTGGTAGTTTTCCGCAAGCTTTGCCGCAGGGCTTATGGTTTACATTTAACCAAAGATCCTGAGGCTTGACAACAAAATTGATATTCGAATTTCCCAACGAATTCCCTGAAATGCAGAAAACGAAAAAGTGTGCCACTATCTGTATTTTAATGCGTAAATGGAATGGCAAGTTTTTAAAGCGTAAAAGTGGCCGGAAACTTATTCAATTGCCCGAAAGTGGAAATTCAAATTTTCGAACACAAACGCTAATTCAAATTAAATGCAAATACCCAAGCGTTTTCACGGTAATTCCAGCTCTTTGGCTACCGCAAAATAGGCAAAAAATAAGCAAAAAATAAGCAAAAATAGGCCAAAATGTCCCACTTTAATCGGGCTTGTGTTTGCCAAAGCTATATTATTTCCATCTGTATATACTTGTATAACATATTTTTCGGTTAAGCATACAAGGCGGATGTGCAGGGCCTTGCTGAAACTTTTCTAATTAAAATTGTGCGGCTTGTTGAAAGGTTTTCAACGGCGAGGGGAGGCGGCGGGCGGGCAGATAGCCGGTTTTAATAGAAATTACATTAATTAATATTTAAAATATGCTTAAATACACATTTCTATGCATTAATTAATACGGGCTGGCACACATACACTCGCACAGCAAGTAAACAATGAAACGTGACTGGAACTAACAGCGAATGGCGCCAAAACTCCAGGACTAATCGGGGATTTGGCTAATTAAAAACGCCCCTAATTTCTTGTTTATTTGGTTAAATCCCATTTTAAATGCCGCATGCGGAAGTCGTCATGAGCGGGGCAAACAGCATCGGTGATTACAATGTTTTATTGACTGTTTTTCCCCACATAATTGCCACAGTTTTGGACTTTGTCCAAATCGACTTGTTTTCCCCTCGAGACGAGCCGCCCGCCCGAATCGCTTTTCTCAGTCGCTCAGCTTAGTTGGAAACTTTGATTTACGCCACCCGACCCTAACCCACTTTTATGGGACTTTGTGTGACCCATTTGAACATTTGGCTTGCAGCGGATCTCAGCGGATGTGGACGTGGACGTGGATGCCACATGCATGGCAAGCACTTATGCAAATTATATGGCGCACTTATGTGCGGGCAGAGGATTCGACTTTATTTGTCGGAATTTCGATGTGGCTTTCCACCAGCAACATTAAAATAAAACATAAATGCATGGCAAACTCAATGAGTGTAAGCGGGTTCAAGCGAATATTGGTCATAATAATTTTGCGGGATAAAATATTAATATTGTGCACGACCAGAAATCGTGAATTCTAAAGTGATTCCTTATGCGTATGCATGGTATAGAAACATAACAGGCTAATTAATTGTTCAAATTATACATCGAATAAATCATTCGGACCCATTATTCGCTTTCAGTTGTTCTGCTCATTGATTCGCACAATTATGTGTTTTACTTTTGAAAGAATTCCATACATGCAGAAAATATCATTTTTTACACGCCCAAAGTTGCAAGAAAAAGAGGAAAATAATATAAAAATGTAAAAACCATATTAATATGGGCCAGCCCAGGAAAATGATTGGTAAATCACTCATATTTCCCACATGTTTGGGCAGAAATCAATCAACATATTTGCACTCTTAAAAGAACGGTCTGCACTCAAAAGCATATCAGAATTGCAATTTCAGGAGGAGTGGAGGGCGGGTAATGGTTATTAAAAAGCGAAAATGTTTTCCGCCGTCTTCTTGGGAATGCCATTAAATAATCAGCACAGCTATCATTATCCGCCACTCCCAACCAAATACAGTAATTAATGGTGCCGCAGAGCCCGCCCAAATTGCAATTACCTTATGCATAATTAAATTATAATTCATTAGACATGAGCCAAGGTCTCCGGACACGTCGAAATCACGGCAATTAAATATTAGCAATGCGAAAAACATTTTCGATTCACAATCAGCGAGGATAAATCAATAAGCTTACAATGGGGTTCCACCCCTTACCAATATTTAGAACAAGTTATAAAAAGCTAATTTTCATGGATCTTGACTCGACTTATTTGGCTGAATCCTGGCAACTCGAGAGATGCACAGATGCACAGATAAAAATGGAATTGTGATTATACAACATTTAGACGTAGAGTTTGGGGCGATTTGAGAGTGAAGGCTGATGATATGGAAATTGCAAATGCCTTTGTTTGTGCCGAAGACGGACAATGTGTAATTGTTTAGGGGCAACGCGCGACAAGAAAATCGCAGAGCAATGGGCGGGAAATGTTTGAAAAATGAAAAATGTTTTCATCTGCACAGAGAACTCGCTGGGATGAGTCTGCTATTTTCTTGTTGCAATGTCGCATGAGCTGGTGATTTCTTTGTGTGTGTATTGCTTATTGGGAGTGGATTTGAAAAAGTGTATAATGCGAATTCAATTATTGTGCAAATCGCTTTTGCTTTTCTTGTGTACATTACAATTTTGGGATCCACTCCGGGCTTTGGGTTTGCCTTCGCCGACCTCATTTTCTTTCTGTTCGTGGAGCCCGTCGTTTTTCTCAGCCGTCTTACAAGATATTTTCAATTTTTGCCGTCGTGTTATTTGCCGTGTGCGCTTACTGTTTTAATTATCTTGCCTGATTTGATTTTCCATTCCTTTTTAATTAATTTCGTTTGACCATAGTTTAGTTATGTATGGGCGGTTTTCAGCATTCGATTTCCACGCGCTTGTTTGTTTTTCCTTGCTGGCGAAACCTTTTTAATCATTTGTTTTACAAAAATGTTTGCGGCTGTTTTTTCCGTTGGTGTTTTCGGTTGTAATGATATTGGGTTTTTATTCGGTTGTACGAGTATTTGTTATTTACTAATAAAATGCATGTAAGTCAGTCCGTCGTTTCAACATTTTTGTGTCTTGTATATTGGATATTGGATTTGTTTGCTGCAATAAAACCAGGCGCACTTAAGTTCGAAACTCGATACTAGACCATCAACAATTTTGGCAGCCAGCCGAGGGCAAGCAATCGAAAAGCAATTATCGTGGGAAAGTGGCAGCCAGCCATGAATGTTGCTCATGTTGCAACAACTGGGGGAACAACAAGTGCATGTTGCACTTGCTGAGGACAGCCGCACCCACCAAGCTGCCACGCCTATTTCGCCACGACAATCCGCTAACCACTTGCGCTTGGCCGCCACCCATTCACACACTGGCTGCCCGAGAATACACACACTAAACTGGTGGCTTAAGTCGGGGACTCCATGTATATTTGCGCTTTAACTTTCGAATATTCTCTTGAATACTTTCTAAATGTTCTTCAGCCCGATTTCGAAACGTTCCAAGTCCCAGGCGTGCACAGCGCTCGGCGCTCAAAGGAAAAGACAACTTGATCACAGCATGGAAAATGTTCAACTGACCGAGTGGCTAGCCTGTAGACCAGCAGAGAAGCTGCGGCTTTATCAGTTCGTGGCTGAAATCGCTCGGCCATCAGTGCGCTGCGCTCGGCAAGCTCGTCCTTCGGCTCGGCACGCAGGACTCGCGTCGCAGCTTCGTGCCTCGTGCGTCGTGCGTCGTGCCTGGAGGTTCGTGGTTCGGGCCGTGTGCGTGGTCGTGTCCTGGGCTCGGGAAGCAACATGTTGGAGCCACAGCCACATCCTTGGCTGCTCCTGGCCCTAGAAAATCTCAATTTCGAGCGCAACTCACTCGTCCTGTGGCGTCACGTGTTGCTTTTGCTGGCATTGAGACGGAGCTTGGAGTGAAAGCTGCGTTTGTTTTGCTCGCCTACGCCCAACGAGTGGGTTTCCTGCTCCGCTCCGCCACGCCGCGCCGCGCCGCGCCGCGGATTCCCAAGGAAGCTTCCGTCCCGATGACGATGATGAGCTGCGTCCTCGTTCCCGAACATTGGATATCCTTCGCAGCGGAAATTATATATGACGGGATGTGTATTACTTTGCCATCGAACAAAGGGAATGCGCTTCGCTTTACTCAGCCGCCTGCTCCTCTGCATTTGGTGATTGGGGACGGCTACGTTTTTTGGCACACAGCAGAAATCTTGACGTTTGGCTTACTTTTAGGATGATTTGCATACACAGCCACCGAAACAACAGATTGATTTGTGTCGGCCCGGATGAAATGTGCGTTGTGTATCTATTTGCTATTATCAGAATACACTCGCTTTAGGACTTGATTCTAGCTGGCAGACTTTTTAATTTCCACAAGTTTACACAGAACAGGATGTGTAGGAATCCAACCATATGTTATGTAAGATTCGAAAACATACATATTTCATGTGCTACTCGTGCTCGTTCTGCAGTCATAATGAACAGGAGGATTAGGGGAATTTGCTTTAATTTAAAATAAGGAATAATAATGGCCATTTCCAGTGTTCGCCTCCTCGGAGACCGCAGCTACATATGTATCCTTTTTGACTGATAGCGATTGCATAACTTTTTCGGTTAGTCTCCGAGGTGCATTCACACATGGCTGCACTGCAGTTGCTGAAGTGGAGCGGCTTAGAAGGTGTTTCTTTCGGGGATCGGAGGACGAACGGGACAGAGGGTTAGCTGCATCCAGACTCCGGCTGCCATAATGCAATTATGCCCTGCCTGGCGGCACAGCTCCTTTGGTACGAGTAATAAGCATTTGCATTTCACAAAATGTGGAGCAAGTCGCTGAAGAAGTTGCGCTTTGTAGGTTTCCATCGCTTCGAACACCCCGTCCTTGTAACCCCTTGAAACCCCTTTGTAACTCCTGCCTCATCAGCAGGAATGGACCTACGGCCATGTTCGCGGGGCGTGAGTTTCATGCTCATAATTTGTGCACTTTATTAATAAAGTTTGCCAACTCGGCTTGGCCGAGACGCAGTGAAAATACACAAAGCCATGCGGAGCATGAATATGAAAAAGACTGTATAACAATTGTTAAACAATAAAGCTCCAAGAACTTGTGTAAAACACAGCACTTTCTTAGTCACATAAACAAAAACGTGGGCCTAATGTTTTCGACTGATAGCGGAAGTTTTCCAAGCTTGTTGTTTGCCCTTTGATTTGAATACGCTTTAAAATTCTACACTTGAATTTATCTTTTTCCTGTGGCGCTAGCCATTGCAGAATTTAAAGGGTTCAAGAAACGAAGTTTTAGTTTGCTGAGAAAAGTGTTTATTTAAGTAACTGGGGGAAAGTGGCCAGGAGGAGTGTCCCCCAGAAACATTCTAGCTCTAGTTGTTCTGCCCGGTTTGTCCTTGTCCACTCTGCTGGTTGCCGTTTCCATTGCCATTTGGCGGTCTTGGCGGCTGTCCCTGCGGTTGTCCATTTTGGCCCTGGGCGGCCACCTGCAGGGGCATTTGTGCCTGGAAAACCTCTGGTCAGGCCACGTGGCTGATTGAGAACCCTTCAACTCTTACCAAACCCACAGCCAGAATTAGGAGGAAGATGCTGAACAATGCGAACTGCTTCATGTTGAATTGGAAACTAGCAAACTATCAACACTTCTGGTCTTTTATAGCGCTGTAACCCAACTGCGGTTCTCAGGAGATAAAAATCCCAGGCAATTAACGATCGCGTTAAAGAATGGTTAAATCAGTTTGTATGTTAATGGGTTAATTCTGCATTATTTTTCCGTATTATCTGATTAATAATGTCGTAATTGCGTGTGACCTAAAGAATAACTCGAAAGAGGAGCTATCATTTTGCTGTTTAATTGGGTAAACAAATTTGAGCAAATTTGCCAGATCTCTGTGGAATGTTATATTAATTACAAATGTATCGCCTGAGATCTTGGTATTATGGCGAATGCCAAATTCAAAGCCAAAACATTTGCAAAATGTTTTTATTTTTTTTTGTGCACCCATACAAAAACATTTTGAACAAGCACGGAAATAACTAAATCTAATAACTAAATAACTAAATTCTACTTGGATGGTAAGAGTTTATAAGAAATCATCTAGCGGACTATCAAATATATTTCGATTCACATTGTTACTTACAAAATTATTAAGATTATTAAATATTGAGGCAAAGACTTTGTCTTGAGCAGTTATTGTAACCGCCACTAGGTGGAGCTCATGTGCACTCTCGGAAGCAGTCGATTTCCAACTTTCAAATCTCTTTAGACTTCGCAGGGCGAGTAACAGGTATCTGATAGTCGTTGTTTTAGACCATATCGTTTTCTCATTTCTGGTTTTTTGTCTTAAGCAACTGTTTTAGCTATTTCAGCTATTTAAGCACCACAAGGTGGAGCTTGGGCATTACATTTTCATAAAGTTTGTCTAGGCAGAGTAAAGCGTCTATTATTCAAACTCGATTTCCTAATTTTACCAGCTCTTTTAATTTGAGCGTATGCTCAAACAATCCCGCACACCAACAGCCATATGCCACCATTCTTTGACTGACACTACACGTTTTGAATAGCGGTAACCGGGACGTCCGTACACCACCCACCACCCACCTACCACCCACCTCCCATCCACTTGCCCCTCGCCATCACCTGTGCTATGCAAATCACCTTGGGGGCATGGTCGGGCAAAGCAATTTCGCTCGGCAGTTTCGAGAGCTGACTGGCAAAATGTCTTCGGTTCCAGCTCGAGATTAAATTCTGCCGAACGTTGGCCAAACAGAACCAAGACTTTCTAGTTTACCCAACAACGATGGGTCCCGCCCTCCGATTCGCCTGTCACCTATGGCACATCGATGATTCTAGACAGGAAAAAGAGCTTATAGTTTTATTATTTTGGTACAATTGGCACTAGAACGGGTCATTTCTAACGTTAAATTGGAGGGCATTCTTGAAATGTATCATACTTACAACATTTTCTATATCTTTTTTCTATAAGTACAATAGTAGCAAAAACGCTACAACTGAAAAGCAACTTTTTTAACAAAACTATTGACGACTTTATGAGGATTTCTTAAAGTGCACTTGTGTGCTTTTTTGCGGGTAATACATGTCCCTGCCCCAGCGAAATATGAATATTGAATATGGCCATAGTCGCGGACTGAGCGGCTGAATAACCGCAAGCGAGTGGCGAAACCATAACGCCTTATAACCATTTCGGCACTTTTCAGGACGAAATCGCAGGGATCCGGGTGGCGAGGATACATGGGAACGAGAAACCGAAATTCCGGGAGCAAGGCGACACCAGCATACATTGTGGAGGAGCACTAATAAAGTCTCGGCCCACGTCCTTTACAGTTCGCTGCCTCATTGTTTGACTTTGGCTTTGCACTGCCTTTCACTAGCAAGGACACCCGACCCCGCCCCCGCCCCGGTTACACTTTGCACACTCACAATTGTTTGCACAGTCACTGCTTTGTCCTTTGACCCCGCAAAGCCCTCCGCCGCTTCTGGCCAGCCTATTTATTTATGTTTATAATAGGATTTTTATCAAAACTTTTCCCCGAACTCATTTTGTAATGAGTATTTAAAAGACACTCGCATTTGGACAAACAGCAAACACAAAGGGACCCGCAGCGCGCCGTCCTGGTGTTTGTCTTTTGACACGCCCGATGGCCACTCAACAGTCCGCCAGCACGCAACCACGCCCCCGGCGCCAGCCCGCCCCCCATCGAGGAGATGGCCCAGGATGCGCAACCAACATTTATGGCTGATGTCCTAATATGGGGTCTCTTAATGGTGTCGGAAGCAGGGCTGACTTGTTCACAGAAGTTTCCATCTCGAAGCCCCTTTTTGGAACTGGTCTATTAAAAATTAGGCGAAGTCTGGCTTTTACTTAAACAGAAGATTTGATTTAAATGAACATATAATATGGTTGGGATTTGGACGGTTCATTTTTCCATATTTGGCTTATAGTTTAAATGAAATATTCTGGCTTCAAGAAGAGCAATAGCATATTTACAGCGTAACACAAGTGGAATACTATTGGATTCTTTGGGAAACTCTCCACACATAGGGTATGCGACAGTTCGTTCTTTCCCCTAGAGTGTACATTTCAGTTTTTCCCGCTTTCATTCGCACCAGCAACTTTTTTGTTTTGACTAATTTGCTGCAATGTTCAGTCATTATAATAATGCCGGTGTGGCTGCTTCGTCGAGATGCTGCGAGTCCTGTTTTCCGTGCTCAGGGCTTGGACCGAAACCGAACTAGATAATTGCCAAATATTTGCGCAAGTTGTCCGTGGTGCACTCATCTCATTACGGATTCAGACTGATGGACTGGGAGGGATTTGTCCGCATACTCGCGGCTTCGCGCTGCCTGGATGTGGATGTGGACCACCCACTTTCGGGCAGTGGTTATCACAGGGTATTACGTGGTCACGGCCCACCTCAAATAACTGCGGCTGTGGCTTTGCTTCATTTCACTGGCCAGCCGAGGTTTGAATAATTCTCCGGCAGACCACTGCCTCTTGCACGGCCGGAACGCAAAAGGGCTTGGGAAACTATAAAGGCCCGCCTAATTTTGTCCAAATTTGCTGTTTAAACATGGCCAATTTAATTTTCGGCTGCAGACAGGGCAGCTTGCCAAAAACAGCCTGGTGGTTTCGCCGTTTGCCGTTTCGCTTTTCGCATTTTCTTTACCGGAAAGCAATTAAGTCAGCCGGGAGAGTCAAGAGGGTTTTAGGGCTTTTGGTCTATTAAAAAGCGCATTGCTCTTAACGCTGCTGAAATACTTTTGAATGCAGCTCGGGCCTGATTAAATCAGTTATGCAGCCGGGGCAATGGATGGTTAAATGGTCGCATGGCGGCAGTGGAGCCAGTGCCACCCACATCCATGGGCAATCATTAAGGAAATCGCTTTGAAATGATGTGATGACTGCCGACCGCCGACTGCTGATTGTCGACAGTTGACTGAAACAAACGCACACCGAGAAAATGGAAAATGGGAAGTGGGAAATGTGACAAGGGCAAAGGCGAAGGCGACGGCAAAAGCATGGCCAACTTTTCAAAGCGTCATTAATCATGAAAAGTTGGGGCGGTCTTAATCCCTGGTCATGGCGCTATCCTTTGTGGGGCTGTCGATATTTGCCTGTGGTTTTAGCTCAAATTGGGGAAAATGAAAATGACAAAAGTTCTCATCTCGACGGCTAGCTATGTGTGTATGTCAGTATGTATCTATGTATCTATGTCGCTAGCGGAATTATGGTTTATCATATTTGTTTGGAATGCTTTCCATTTTCCCCGTTGTGGTAACCAAACACACACACACACACACACACACACGCACAGGATCCCTCACACACAGAGATGACATATCCTTTGTCTCATGCTCGTCCAAGTTTCCTGCGTTCCTTTTGTTTTTTACATACAGCTCCTCCTGTTTTTTGTTGTATTCTTTGTTTTGTGCGGCTCACTTGGAAATACTGTAAATATTTTTAATTCTTTGCCAGCGCCAGAGGGGCAGCAGAATTTTCAGCTTTTAAGCTAAAGCTATGAAAATAATTTGGTCCCAGAAATACTTGCGGCCGTGTTCGGGGCGGACGCGGGGGGCAGCTTGAGCAGGGGGCGTGGCCTGTCCATGGCTAGGTCCTTTGGCTGAATCCTGGAACTGAGCCCGAGCCTGAATGCTGAGCCTGGGCAATTGGAATGCCTTTTGCGGCTCGCAGTAACGTTGTCGTGTTGATTAAGCCAGCTCCCAAAGCCAAAAGAAGAAAACGCGTTCTGGCCAAGGGGGCGCATTGTTGCCATGATTCCCGCCGTTTTCCGTGTTCCCCGTGAACTGGTGAAACGCTGAAATGGTGACATGGTGGCTGCCACAAAGTGCTGCTGCAAGTGGATAATAACTGACGGCAACTATGCGCATTTGTTTTATGCGGCAAAGTAATGAAACAGCAGCAAGAGCATCTACGCGCTCCACCAAAATGACAACGCGACCGCTTGCCTCGGGCGGTACAACACCAACTACTGTAGAGGCGGAGCGGCACAGAGAAAAATCCAAGTAAAAGCGGAGGAAAACAAATGCTGAGAAAAACGATTAAAACATCTAAATTTGGGTGGTATTACTCATTATGTGTACATGGTATTGAAATATAATTATATTTGCTACATCAGAAGGCCAAAGTTAGTAGTGCCAAAAAGCAGGAAAAGCTTTATCGCATAGCATTAAACATATTTCGAAATGTATACAAAATCCCTTGGGCAAATATTTGAAAAATACAAAAATATTTTATTCAAAACATACCATGGTACATGGTATTGAAATATAATTACATTTGCTACATCAGTATGGTACTGCCAAAAAGCAGGAAAAACTTTATCGCATAGCATTAAACATATTTCAAAATGTATACAAAATCCCTTGGGCAAATATTTGAAAAATACAGAAAATATTTTATTCAAAACATACCAATAAATACCATTTTGCGCAACTATTTATATATTAACCCATGCTCCGGAACCACGCAGAATTATTTGAGAGCTGCAGACACTGAATAGATACCCTACTATACATATTAATAAAGTAAGGGATTCAGAAAACCCATTATTCATGAACAAAGAACAAGCTGAGAATTCAAAAGGCAGTAGGTAAATGGAGTAATTATGCTTTTGTCTCTGTGCATCAAAGCTGCAAGAGCCGAGCGGCGAAAACATGGAAAAGAACCAGCAGCAGTGCAACAAACTATGGTTCCTCTCGAGGAAATTGCGTGCATAGTGGAAAAACTTTCTCGCCGGGTCGAAGTCAAGAGCGGCTGCACCGTCATCAGCTGGCTGGGGGGGTGGTTGGGTGGCTGGGTGGCTAGGGGGTTGCGAGTTTGGGGCGGTGTTTTCTTTTCGCCCATTTTGAGAGCCAGCACAAAGCAAAGACAAACAGCAGGGTAGGGCATTGCGGAGCTGCTTTGTCATGGCCGCTGATTTGGTTTAAGAAATGCATGGCAGCATTCCACATTTTCCACTCGGCGCTCACAATGAACGCAGCAGCAGGAATAGCGGGAGAAATGGGCGACCTGGATGGGTGGGCTTCTTCAGCAGGTTGAGCAGCAAGGAGCAGCCAGGAGCAGCCAGGAGCAGCCAGGAGCAGCCAGGAGCAGCAAGGAACAGGAAGCAGCGCCTAGCCGCCATTTTGGCCAGAACTGCGCTCGTGCGTGCTGCAGTTAGCGACTTTCCACGGACTGTGGTTCAAGCCTTTGACACCCGATTCCGAAGCTATTACCATCCAAGGGATATTGCCAGACTTATCTGCTACCAATCAAAGTGCTTTTGGGTATTTATCCGCCTTCAGATATGCACCTGCTCGGTGTATCGAGGTCGTAGTATGGCTTTTTTGCTTCGCAGTGGTATTTATATCTATCTTCGGTCTCCCTGAAGGCCAGCACGCCATTCTATTCTTCGGTTTTATGTCGCAGTTGCAGTTGCAGTTGCATTTACCTGGAAGCCATCATCTCCCTCCGCTGCAAAACCGTTTCTTAATCTGATTATGGTTCTTTATATTTTCCTGGCCAAGGGCTTCCAAAGAATTTGAATGCTAGGAAGGCAACACTCAGCTTTACGAGTTACTCTTAAGTCGTCCTAATGGTCGATACCAGATATGCGATTTCAACATTTGTTATGTGTAATACTAATGTGCTTCGCCAGTAGTAAGAGTAGACAATCGTTTTAAATTTTTAAATTAATTTCTTCAACTCCTGTTTATTTGTGATTATAAGTGATAGCCAGTTTCCTAAGGGTCCTCAACTGCCTAGATCCACTGTGCCAAGCGTGCCGGCACACAAATTAGTTTTAACCAGGCCCTGTCACGCTGCGGTGAGCCCCATTGTGCTGCCACCGTCGTGGCTGCCGATTAAGTGCGTCTCCTTGGGAAAGGGCCAGGAGCAGCAGGGAGCCCAGGGATGGTGGGTACTATATAACTAGCACTGGAAGCAGGAGTCGCAGCTGCTGCCTGTTGACATTTCAGTGCCTTCAGCCAAAAGTTTGCACTGCCATCGCAATGGGGAATCCCAAATTGTCGGCGGAGGAGGGGGCGGCGTCTTCTAATCAACATCTAATTATATCGCTCTCCACTCTAATGAAGGTGAGCCAAGGCATGCATGATTGATGATTGATAATTACGGGCACGTCTGATGGGCCAAACACATCCAACATCAACATCGAAAGGGCAACGACAACAGCAACACAAATCATGCAGTTCGCAAATCGGGATGCCAAAAACACAGAACCAATACTAAGACACAGGCTGCTTGTGTACATGGTGTACTTGGTGTGTTGGTGTGTTGGTGTTGGTGGTGTTGTTTGCTTCTGTATTTGTGTGAGATGCAACATGTGATACACTGTCCTAGTTCCGCGTCCGTTACTGCGTTGTTATGCAACACAATGGCACACATAAGCGCAGCAGGGGGTGGCAAAGTGCCGCTTCGGGTGGGGGGTGTGTTGCAAAGGCATTGAGATCGAGCGCCACCCAAAAGCTCCCTCGAAAACACTCGAAAAGCTGGCTCAAGCTGCGGGGAAACAAACTCAAGCTTGAAAGCGCCAGGTGTCCCAAGCTTAAAGCTGTTTCCTGAAAATGCAACACAAGCTTGCGGGCCACCTGAGCTTTTCCCAAAGCCCTTTTACGGCCCTTAAACGTAACAGTAAAGCTTTGGTAACAGCGAAACATGGAGGTCCCTCAAAGGGGTTCCAAAAAACACTAACATTTAAAGACATCCAAAACCAAACTGGGTTTGCTCATTCTGCAAAACTCAGTTTTTCAACAACTTTTCAGAATTATATCAGCTACCGATGTAATACTTTACCAGCATTGTCTTTTGTTTTTGTGCTTGTACTTACATTTCGTTAGGTATTCTAAATATTGAAATACAATGAAACAAAACACAATACGCAACGCATTAGAAATGTGACTGCCATTATTATCGATTGGTTCTAATATAGAAACAGATCATAATATCAATGCACAAATTTGTATAATATCTGTTCGTGTCTACGAATAATGCGTATTTACAATGGCTTTACTCCACATTCAAGGATAATAACGAGGCGCATTTTATGTATTCTGTATCTTAAGCTAGGCCTGATCACTTGTTCCATTAGAGTTATGTTCGCTTAATATCTAAGTGGATAACTGCACTGCAATACAAGCAATACAAGCGGGGTATAACACATACGATACAGTATTTTATATGGGATATAGCATTAGGTATTCCTGTAAGGGACTTACCCATATCATCGATTATCGGAGCCATGCGCAAAGTGACTCCAATCAACATGAGGCACATGAGCAGCAACAAACAGGCGGTGGCAATTATTGTCCAGCGGGCACGCTGGGACAGATCATGAGGATCGATCACCTGGAAGGATATATGCCATGAATGTTGGGTTGCGACTTTGAGCTTGTTGCTGTGGGCTTTGACTCACCTTAACAACTTCTGTGTCCAAGTCCTGCACCAGAATCTTTGGTTTTTTGTGCCGATGTCGCTTTTTGTGGCGATGTCTGTGAAGTGGAAGAAAGACGATCGGGTTAATACCTAAGAATGTTTCAGTTACTTTATTCTGAAAACGTATAGCTTTAAATTTTAATCTATTTTCTAAGGGATAGTATTTAAAGGGCATACACATGGCATTTGAAAAAAATCTTAGACTTGAAAGCATATAAGGACACAAATTCATTTTAGATGTTCTTCTAATGAAATTGCTAGTTGAATGGAATGCCATAAATTGATTAAATGCCTGTAAGGGGAAATAAAGTTGCAGGTACTTGGCATTGCCCTTAATGCTATTTGATGATTATTTCTGGCAGAAATTTTGCACATTAATCTGTTTAGCTTGTGTGCCTGAGCGTCGCCCTGCCTTCAGCCACATATGTGGGCTCAACGTGCAGCAGAAGCTTAAACATATTTGCTCTATTTCCGTTTGGGTTTTACAAAACTTCCGCATTACAAAGCTGCCGCAATTTCCCCTACACCGCAGCCCCCCGACCCACCGACCCACCGTTCGCTACAAACAACATGGCTCGATTTTTGCAACGGAAGTTGCTCCTGGCTATGGGCGGAAAAAGGAGAGCAGCGGCAGACATCGCACTGCTGACAGTCAATGCCATTGTGCCACCCAGTCTCCCAGTCACCCAGTCACCCACCAGCCATCCACCCAGTGAGCCACCTAAGTCCCTTGCCGTTCCCCCCACAAAATAGTCGCACAAAGCCTGTCAATCAATTTTTGTCTGCTCAACGTCACGCGAACTTCCCAGAGGAAATGTGGGCGGTGGCCAGAGGAGGAGGGCAACGCATTAGGGCATATTTGGCAATCACAATCGCCATCGCATCGCATCGCCAATCGGCAGGACATTTATTAGTGCAGCCCAAGGACACGGCCAGTCCTTTGTTGCAGCACCTGTCCGAATGTCCTAGCTGTCGAACCGAGCCACCATTCATCCATCAGCCATCAGCATTATTTATGTGCGCTCCGATCATTTCTCAACTCAAGCCGATTTTGGCCAGAACGGCCAGCAAGGCCGATATGTCTTGTTGGCTGAAAGGATTTAGGGACGTCCGGTGGCCACTCACCGATGCTTTCGGCGATGTCGCTGATGACCACTGGGCACCATCTGCTCAAGGTCGTCGATTTTATCGGCATCGTCCAGGTCCAGGTCCAAGTCCATGTCCATGTCCAGCTGCAGGTCGCAGGGCGAGTCCTCGCCGTACGGGCATTGTCTGCGGATAATAAATCACATTAGCGGCTATGACCTTTGATATTCAGCAAGATAAAAATGTCATCCTCATTTCAAATAGAAACAAGAGAGAGTGCTATACCCATTACTCTACGAGTAAGGGGTATAAAAACTGCATTATCACGCAGATTTCTCTGTTACACGACAAGAAGCACAAGAAGCACCCATGTCATTTATAATATTTGCTACTTCAGTACTCCATTTGGTTCAATTATCATTAATTATTGTAGCTTCATTAGTGTGTATTTTTTCCTGTATTTTTTATCCCTTCAAAAAAAAAAAAAAAAAAGGCAAATAATTGAAGCCATGACCAGAACGCAATCTGAATCCTTGCAATTCAACGACCTTTCGCTTCCTCATCCCCACATCACTGACTTACATGGGCTGCTGTGTATCCGGATTGATGCCGAGCACGTGCACATAGTGCTGGAGACCACTGGGCGTGGGATAGACCAGGGCGGGATCCGAGCAGCGATGATGGCGCTCTGGGGGAGAAGGGCATGGAAGGAGATCTGAATGATTGAGGCTCCTTTCGCTGCAGCTCGCTGCCACTTACTGTACTTCCGTTTCCGACGGCGGTATTCGTCGTCGCTGCCCGTGCTCTGGGCCGTAGTCATTGCTGCGGAGGAGGGCATCGCGGAGGGCTTGAAGGCTTCGCCCGGCCTCTCCTTCGGCTTCGTGGCGCTGCAGCAACCGGTGGCGGCCACACTGGAGCCCGTCGACGTTGAGGTCATCCGGTGTAGTTTGTCGGGCACCAGGGCCCTCGTCCTGGCTCGCTCCACGCTCCCGTCCTCCATGGGAATCACCACGGCAGTGCCATCCAAGCCATATGGCGGCCGCACTGGCAGCAGTCCGGTGCTGCGGGACTTGCGGCGCTCCTGACTCGCGCTGCCCATCGCCGGGGGCGTATTTGCATAGCTGGGCGTGGCGTGCAGCGACTGGGAGTCGCTTTGGGCCAGCACCGTGCTCACTGTCACATTGGCGCTGTCCTCCGACGTGTTCTGGCGGGAGAAGTACCTGGTGTAGGCCTCCGCTCCTCCCACGCCGAAATCCCCTGCTGCTCCGCTTTCAGTGCAGGATATCTGCTTGGGCAGCAGACGCCTCCGCTGGGGAAGTGGAGCGGGTAGCGTCTCAATCTCCAAGGCCACGTGGGGCTGCAACTGCTGATGCACCTGCAACTGCGGCTGAGTTCTGGCCAAACTGGAGGGAACATTGATGTGCAGGCGCTGGGGAACGCAAAAACAAAAAATTTTAATAATTTTTTCAAGGAAGATTTAAACCCATTTCCGTGTCAACCCATTGGACTTGGTCATTCAAATACTTACCGCTTGTTGGGGTGACTGCAGCGGAAACGAGCGCACCACGTGCCTGGGAAAGATGGGGCTGCACTGGGCGCTGATGGACTTGGCCTCCAGGATCCTCAGTCTCTTGGCCAGTCGCGACCGCTCCCTCGACTCCGTCTCCCCGCCGCCTGCGGTGATCACTTCCGCTCCGCCAAAGCTGACCGTGCAGCGGGAACTACTGTAGGAGAGGCTTTCAAGGCTGCCGCGTAGCGAGGCGGTCAGGCTGTCGTCCGCCAGCGTGGAGCTGTGGAGGACTCCTCCGTGGGCCGTGGCGGTCACGGTGGCAGTTGCTGTGGCAGTCGTCGAGGTATTGTCGTGTCCGGAGATCGGGGGCAGTGCCGACTCGCCGTTAATCGTTGTGGAATGTTTGGCTGGGAGCTGGGCCTTCAATCTGAGCTCCGCCTCCGAGCTAATGGATCGCCGGTCCGCATCCATGTCCATCTGGTGTGCAGGCGTGTGCGTTTGAGCTCGAACAAGTAAGCTGTGGCTGTGCTTGTACTGCCGCTGGGCTCCCGAGGAGTTGCTCAGCGTGCTGGCCAGGCTGTCCTCCAAGTTCTCCGAACGCTTCGGATGAGATCGCTGCAAACTGGCCACTGAGCCGCAGGCCTCCTCGATGTCATCCGTCCGGGTCTTGCCTTTTGCTTGGGCCTTGGTCTTCCCGCTACTAGTGGCTGGTGGTGAGGGCTGGACCTGGTGATCCTCCGGTGGCGGAGTGTCCTCCCTGCTGGAACGGCGACTTCCGCTGCCAAACAGCTTTCTGGGCAGAAATATGCGACCGATGGACTTCCGCTTGCGCCGCTTCGCCTTCTTGTGCTCCTCGTAGTCCCGCTTGAGGGCCTGCATCTTGTGCTCCACCAGAGTGCTGAAGACAGCCTCGTAGGTGAGCGCCCGTTGGAGATCCAGCAGAACATCGTTGGTGGAGACGGCCTTGTCCAGTTTGGTTAGCAGCTGCAGGGATTCGGCGCCACTCCCACGACCACTGCCACTGCCACTACCACTACCACTGCCCCCGCTGCCAGTGCCACTCTTGCTATCGTCCGCATCCGCCATGTTGGCCTAGTTGGATGGTGGGTGGTGGCTCAATGGGCGGCTCAGGCTCGGGCTCAGGCTCTGGTGGTTGGAGGCGGTTGTTGCTGCTTTGGCTGCTGGTGCTAGCGCCTATTTGCATTCTACTCGACGCGTTGACACGTTGATCGGTTTGTTTTGTCCTCGGGGTTGTGCTGGTGCTTCTGCTCCTGCTCCTGAGTCGTCGGCTCCTCCTGCTGGTGCCTGCCCGTCATCTGGGTGGCGACGTCTTTGGATGCCTCAGTGTCATCGCCGCCGCCTCCTGGTTACCTCGTTCTCGTTTATCTCCTCGTCAATTGCCTTTTCAAATCTTTCTCTTTTGTGTGTCACGGTGGCATCAAGTGGCGCTTAAAGGCGACGGCTGCAGCTGCAACAACAAGAGCACCCGCACATTAGACCGACTCTCCCACTCAATTCAATAGACAATCATCGCCCAATATCCTTCGCCAAACCCTCCTTCCCCCATCACCACATTCAAGGACTCACAAAAGATGGAGCAGTTACTTGGGGCGCGGGACGCAGAAGCACCACGCCAGGGAGGACAGCTTGCCAATAGTTTTGCTCACTTTTCTGGCGCGGATTCGCGTCTGCCTCCATTATGCATGAGTGTAGCAGATTTCAACTTGTTGCACACACCTCCACCCCCACGAGCTACCCACTCATGCGAAAAGGACCCCACACATTCATGGCGCTCTAGCAGCACTCGATGTCGAGTGGTCAGTGATGACCCACATTTATTTCGCCTGTTTATGGCCAGGTTGCGAAAGGATATTGGGCAATATGATAGGAAAACACAGGGAACATGGTATGGCCTGTCTGAAAACGAAGTTCCTAAAGAGCAGTCTAAATTGTTGTCAACTCAAAAGTTGCATAGTTTTGTTACTTTGTATTATTTCTGTGATGCAATCGATGCATATTCCACCTATTCCATGTGGGCTCCCGCCTCATCTGCCGCTGTAATATCCGCGCTAAGGGAAAAACAAAGCCAGGCGGACATCACTGAGTCGGGACAAGTGAATCGGGAGCATCGAGCTGTGACAGGTAAGTGGGAGTGCGAGTTGCTGGTAAAGCCAGGCTCCCAGTCGCCGTGTGAAATGTGGGTCTATATGTGCGTATACTCGTATACATGTGGGAGCTTTGGCCCTAGGCCCGTGGGAAAATGGCAGCGCCAGGACTCCCTTGTGGCCTCCAATGCGCTTTTTACGGCCCTCCATTCCGAATGTATATGTACGTGCATGCATACTCGTACACACCGAATAAAGACCTACAATGGAAATGGATATTGTTTTCATTTCCGCAGAGCACTGGCGCTATTGCAATCCCAGTCGGAGGCTCGTGAATGTCGACGCCAGCTGTGATGCAAATGGCACACAAAAGGGTCGCCACAATGGGCGCCATCAGCAGCAGCAGATGATGGGGCATCTAAAAAATGATTAAATGCAAAGCAGAGGAAAATAATGCCCCACAATGCTCGTACACAACATGCAACATGCCACATGCAAAGGGCGGAGCAGCTAGCGTGTCGCGACTGTGGAAACCGTGAGGCAATCGCAATTAAACGATATGGTCGGGTAATAGAAAAAGTTGAAGCAGCCAGCTTGCATAAATTTTAGTTAACAGGATCAAATACTTGGCCCAGGCGCACACACTTGCGCACTGAAAGTTGCCGCATGCAAAATGATACTTTCATAGGGATCAATGAATGTCATCATAAACTTGCTTACTTGTTTTGCTTTCAATTTGCCCCATTTCTTTGCACACAAAAGTTAACCTAAAAAGCGACCTAAGCGAAACTTGTGAACAGAAATCGAGTTACCTTAACTAGCCAGCGAGAACTCGAGCAAATAACACATTGATCCCAATGGGATTTGGCCGAAAATTGGCTTAAAGCCACTCACTGACCACCAAACGATTTCCATGCATCCAATCCTCAAAGTAACATGCGAGTAGGAACGACAACAATAACCATTTCTGTGAGTGCACAGCCTAAGCGTCTTATCTCTGGCCCAAACACAATATCCAACCAGCCAGGCGTGCAAACAATCTAGGCAAATGAAAGAGAGCCACTGCGTGCCGGGGAAAGAGAGGCAAGTATGAAAAGAAAGTGAGGCGGTGGAAAAGGGGGGGCATCGCAAACACACACGCATAAATCCAAACAAAGACCACATGCCTTATGGCCAGGGCCATTGGTGCCGTACTGCGAAGTATCGTAGTAACGGGCTGGCTCCTTCGTCTCAGGCGGCACGGATATAAATCATCCGAGGACATAAAGGGAAGCCAGGCAAAAATTATAACTGTTGCTGCCACTGCCGCAAAAGTAAATAACAGTTAACAGTTTGCTGTTGCCGCGGCAGCGGAAAATTCAACAGTTGTGCAGAAGCAGAGGCAAATGCAAAGGCAAAGGGCCAAGAGAGAGTCCTTGCTCCGCTGGCTCTCTGCGCAGCTGCCACTTCTGTTGGCCAACTTTAGCATAAGCTGTTGGCATCGCTGTTAACAACCTGCTTGTTGCGCGGCTGTTTGCGCTGCGTATTCAAGGAATGTTTGCTGCTGATGATCCCCTGCGGGTGTGTGCTTATAATGGGACATCTGAACTTTTTAGCCAAGTAGTTGACAGTTTTTCCATTAGATTTATGTGATTGCATTCGGTAGCTCGTTGCAGCTGGTTAGCCCGGCTAACTTTCAGGGCTGCCGAGTTTGGTGTCAATGACAAGCTGAACAAATGCGTAATTGGCGACACACATTGCCGGGTTCCAAATGGTTGGAGTTTGCGTTGAATGGTTTATTTTATAACGGCACTCGAAAAGTTGCCAAACTGCTGCGAAACCGAAATTGGGAAAACTCATCCTAATTTAGTGTAATCTAGTCACAAACTAAATTTGCTGCGTTTATAAAACCGAACTGAACGAGCTAATGTGTTGTTTTTTCACTTGCATTAAGCTAGAATCCAATAAATAATATAATATAATATTATATATCATAACTTCGAGAAAGATAAAATAGAGTTGGCCCATTGAAAGATAATATATATTGTATATACACAGGTATACAACTTTAAAGGTACAACATGGATTATGGTTCCGATTGATTTTATAAGTCTATACACGAAAACACTTTATTATTATATTTCAGCATTGGCAATTACTAATTTAATGGCTTTCCATAAATTATAGGTTAATTCACGCTTTGTTTACTTGCACCAATCATCCCATTTATGTGCATAAAAATGTATGCGCAAGCGGAACTACAAATAGAAATCCGCACTTTGCACGCGTACATGGCGTATACGTGATATTCAAGAGCATTTCGCATATTCCACGTGGGGCAACACCCATCAACGGATGGCCCGAATTCCACGCCCACCAGCTGCCGCATAAATACGTAATTGTTAATAATTTTTCAGCAAAATTACCCGGCTCCAAATCAAGAACGGAATAGCAAATGCAAATGGCCGGAGCTGCAGCCGGATGGAGGAGGAGTGAACCGACCAAAACTCGAATACTTAAATTTAATCAACTTTCAGCTGCCCAGTGGCATACACGCGATACTGGCAACTGGAAACTGGATACTGGATACTGGATACTGCAGCTGATACCCCAAACTCTCGGCCGGGGGCGTTCAATTATTGACGCCCCTCTTCGCTGGTGTCCTTCGCACATTTTTTCGGTTCGCCAACCGATGCGATGCAGCCCAAGCACAACAAAACGAGGAAAAGCTGTTCGCCAAATAAAACATGCACATGGCTTAAAACACATGACACCGAAACGAGAGACGTCGGACAAGCTAAAACGGAAAAAAGACACGAAAATAAAGCTGAACACAGCAGGCGTCCTTTCGCACACCATCCCACTTTTCACTGGCACTGGCACTGGCACTAGTACGACCTTTGAAATTAGAGTTCTGAGATGTGTACGTAAAGTTGGTGTGCTCGTGTGAGTGCGAGGACCAGAACAACACACATTCAAATGAGTCCTTGGCCGCAACGAGCTGCAGCAAAAAGGACCTCCCTGCCGCCGCAGCGTGCATCAAGTGCAACTGCCGTGGCCCAGCAGCCATCACTGTGTCAGATAATTAGTGAAAACTGTCTGTGAAGAAATGTCTGTCTGTCGCCAGGTCCGTGGGTCCGACAGCAGCATCCACAGCCAACGTGTATATTCGGAGGCACATCCACAGCCACATCCACATCCACATCCACATCCATGTCCATGTCCATGTCCACGTGCATGTCCACGGCCCTGGCAATGGCAACAGCTGAAATGCAGAGCATCTGAACATCTGAACATCAGAACATCAGAACATCAGAACGCCTGTGAAAAGCGAGAGTACCATGGGCGAAATATGTAAATGCAAGGAACCCAGAACTTTCTGGAAACACCAAAGAGATATTTCAAATCAAAGTTCAGCTGTGCTTTGTTGCAGTTTTAAAAACAAATAAAGCTAATAAAATCTAAATATATATGTAAAGTTGTGAAACATATTTAAACAGTTTCCAATGTACAAAACATTTGTTCAAAAAATATTTACTTAGCAAGACTTAAGCATGCTGGGGCCTCAATGAATTTATGCTGCTTCTGTATTTTGAGGCTGCCATTAATGCAAATGCACACCTATGCTAAACGCAATAGAGACCTTAGCCAGCTGAGCTGTGTTTCACTCGATTTCCCAGCACCAAATGAAGTAATTTACATGCAGATAAATGTGTAATTGGATGGATGCCCTGCAATTATACCCTGCCCGATCCCATGGTGAAGCATTGCCTCTCGTGGAGAGTCTGAAATGCAGGCTGACAGTTTTATGACAGACAGGATCGTATGCACGCCTTTGCGACACCCTGGCCGTGGTTACTGCTGCAGGGAAACTCTGACAACTGTGGACACGGCCTCCTCTGCTCCCTCCCTGCTCCTTTCTCCTTTTTCATCTGCTGCTCAAGTTCAGCTATTCCCAAACTGCTGCAGGGATCTCGGGTTTTCTGACCCGACCTTGAACCCTGGCCGCAACTCCGGAGGCTCACGTGGCGTATGAGTAATGGTTCTGCCATGGGGGAATTCTGGCAACGGAATGCGTCGCCTCTTGTTTATTTCCCTAAGACAGGTCGCAGCGCTCGTATTTATAGAGCTTTCAAAATTACATCAGCCAGATCGACTGATTCAGCCGTCCATATCACACAAATCAAACCATCAAATGGAGATTCTTGTTTTTGGGCGTCGGGGTTGATATAAACACACGATTCGAACTAAATATTTACACGTCGCTGGCTGTTTTCATTCGGTGTTTGCTTGCCAACCCGTCCTCCGCTCCTTCGACCGCTTTTCCTTTGTGCTCCGCTCCGTTCCGCTTTGCTCGACTCCGTCCGGTTTCAGTTCGATTGGT